TCTAAAATTTAAAAAAAAGCAATTCCGTAACTGAAGTCGGTTTTCATTAACCGATTGCCCCCAAAAAGGAGGTTAAGTCTTTTTGTTTACTTTTTTAATTTTAAAGGTCTCTATCAGCCTTTAATAAGGTCTATATCGTGTGCTGTGAATGTTACATTCCGTAGATAATTTATTGTATTAGTTATTACACGGAAATAAATAACGTTAGTTAAGTTGTTTTATTTATTACATGGTTTTTTCCTATCCTTTTTGTATTCAGTGTATTCAGCCCTTTTTTTAACGTCCCACTGCTGGGCACGGGCCTACCTTTCAGTACGAGGGGAATCAGGCCATCCACCACGCTGGCCAAGTGCGGATGGGCGGACTTCACATGTCTTTTTGAAAATTAGCTAGGTTCTCTCAGACATGCAGGTTTCCTCAGAATGCTTTCCTTCACCGTTAAGACAAGTGGTAATCATGTTGGAAATGATTCGCACATGAAAATATCAGAGATGCGAGACCCGGGATTTGAACTCGCTTCACTCGGTTTCGGCATTACCACTGGGCTACCACTGGGCCTATCCTTTTTGCTGATGTATTATTTAGTTAAGAACTAGAAAATCTAACTGCCTCGGTGGCTTAGTGGCTAGCATGTTCGGCTGCACGTCCGAAAATCCCAGGTTCTCCTCCCGGGTCGGACCAAATTCAATTAGTGACTTTTTCTTTTAAGAAATTCTCGGTAACAGCCCAAAGTCGGATCAAATCTTAAAATATTGTCGGCTGGCACTGACTTTGAAAATATCTGATTAGGTTCTAAATGAAAACTTCCGTTTAGTTATTTTTTACATTTTAGTGCCTGGAAGTCGTTTTTTTTTTAGTTTTTATTTTTCCATTTTTTACGTCTACACGTAATAAGCAGCTAATTTGGAAGAAGAAAGTTTCTTCATAACATATTCGATTAAATAATTTATTTAAAAAAATATTTATAGTTGATTTTTTTTAAAACCGCTTGACCGATTCCGATAAAATTTATATGGGACCACCTGGGAAGTATACCCTTTAAAATAAAAAAATAGTATTTCCAAATCGGTTCAGGCGTGTTCGAGTAATCAGTGAACATACATTAAAAAAAAAAAATTCCGACGAATTGAGAACCTCCTCCTTTTTGGAAGTCGGTTAATAAAGTTCTTGGTAATATTGAATTTTACAAATCCATGAGAGTGAAAGTATAAGAATTGTAAAAAATATTAAAGGATCAAAACGGTTAATTGCCAGACGACGTCTTCGGATCTACGCACACACGCGATAGAGCGCTACTGCGCGTGCGCGACAAATGCCTAATTTCACTCTTTTGATTTCGTATACGGCCTCTTAATTACGTCTAGCTTATTACCATACCACACCCATTACCATGCGATTATATTAATGTAACAACTAAATCTATCTGTTTTCTGTTAATTCATTCAATTTTAAATCAGTTTCACGCGAATCCTCGTTAAATTAACACTTATCCATTGTAGTTAAGTAAGAAGTTGCGATTACGTGTCGTTTTGAATAACACGTGCAAGGAAAAAAAATTGTAACTAGGTATTGTAGGTACCAATTTTAAATTTCCTACGTTAATAATAGTATACCTATGGTAAAAATATTTTTTATTTATCAAATATTTTGTAAAGTGAATTACAATTTTGTTCGTTGTGGACGCAGAAAATAAAATTGTTTTAGATTGCAAAATTCAATAACAATTTAATCAGGTGTTCTGTCAAGGCCTCATGTAAGTATTTTTATTATCTCATTGGCTTACTGGCTTATAGTGCAAGGGATGGTAAGGTCTTGGGTTCGAATCCTGGGTTAGATAAAAAGGGTTATAGCGATTTTCTATCAAAGGAAACTGTTAATAAAGAAACCTCCCAAATAAATAAATTTAGGTGACAGGAGGCAGTGTTAGCCCAGTTGTAATGCGCTCGCTTTGGAAACTGAGCGAAGCAGGTTCAAATCTCGGGTCTCGCATCTCCGATATTTTCATGTGCGAATCATTATTCATGATTACCACTTATTTTACGATGAAGGAAAACATCGTGAGGAAACTGCGTGTCTGAGAGAACCTGGCAAGTTTTCGATAGACATGTGAAATCCGCTAACCCACACTTGACACTTTACTTGACCCCCTTCGCATTGAAGGGACTAGGGAGGCCCACCCCCAGCACTCAACAGTGGGAAGCTAAAAAGGGCTTGATACAGGTGACAGTAGCTACAATAATTGAATACAATCGCACTGACATGATGATGGAGCTAGGAGGTGGATAGTGGAACTCATTAATAGCTATTATGTTTTATCATGTTTTTTATTTTTTTAAACTATAACTGGTTATTAGCGATGGGCGTTGAATGAACGGACTAGTTCCATAAACCGGTCGACGATGCGTCGACGGTTCGACGGTTCACGTATTTCAAATGAACTAGTTCAATTCATAGACTAAGACAGTCCGTCTCGCAACGTAAACTAGTAACTATAGACTGTGTTGCGTCTACAACTACATTGAAGCGTACGTGAACCACAGTCCACGATTTGAACTAGTCGACGAAAGAAAATGAACGGTCTAGTTTCGTTCACGCTAAATACGTCGACGACACATCGCTATTATTAGTTATTCGATTCGAGCTATATATTGGTTATTCGATTAAAGAATCCCTAGTGGATTTAGGTATCGTTGTGGCTTTCTTTAACAGCTTCTTTGCATATCAAATTTTATCGAGTTAATGTCATAAATCATAATAAACACCAGGCTTATAATTTTGGCTAGAATGTTTTGAAAATAAGGAAGTATTAGACACCCATATATACGAGTATGTATGACGTACATGAGAGTTACAATCACACTGTATACATAACATTTGAATACCAAAAGCGATATGTTATCAAACAACATTTTACTGCTATAACGACTTGCAAATAAAGGTTACAATTTTTTGTATTTAGCCCACCACGCTTTCCGCTCATTTGATAAACCGTGTGAAGCGGATTCAAATCTGGGGTTTCGCTCATCTGAAAAATTCACGTGCGAATGATTTCCAAACGATTACCACTTATTTTACGCTGAAGGAAAATATCTTGAGGAAACCTGCTTGTCTGAAAGAACCTAGCAAGTTTTCAAAAGACATGTGAAATGTCTGCACTTGTTGCCCGCGCGTTTGTTTCTAGTGTTTAATTTTTCGCGTCCCTGGGGTCAAGCCTGTCCCAAACCAAATTTCTGGATCCGCTCCTGGGAGCAAACATACATACACACAGTTCAAACACGTAGCCCTTCCTTCGGAATTCCCCACAATCGATTAAAACAAATCTTTATCATGAATATATTTTTATTTAAGAGCAATAAAAAAACAAATACATTATTATCTGTTGTTGCAAACGATAAGTCACGCAATATTTTATATTTTAATAAAGTACATGTAAATAGGTTGTATAATAATAAAATATAGTTATTTTATTCTAAAACTAGTGATTTGCTCTCGCTACTCTCGGATGCGTTTTATATTTAGGTGCTCGTCCATTGGTCGACGACCCTAATTTTTTTTAATGATAACTCTAAAGCTTGTCAATAGCTCCAAAATTAAAAATTACAAAAATAAAAAAATGCATAAAAAAACGAACTAAAAATATGAGAACAAGTTGATGATGGAACATAGTATTATGCAGTCGGAGACGTACACACACGCAGCTATTATAAAACATGTAGAGATTTATGTAAACCTAAACCTCAAATAAAAATACTTGATATATTATGTGTACATGAACGAATTTCAGAACCTCATTTTTTTCGATGTCCACTTTACGTGAAATGCCCCAATTACAAGGTAACATAAGATCGAACATACATACAGGTCAAACACACAACCTACCTTTGAGCTTCGCAATAATCGAGTAAAAAGAAGAAAATCGGTTGACAAAGGAACAAGTAAAAGTTTTTTATTTTTGCCTATTTGTATACGAATAGATAAAACTACTCCAAATAAGAATCTATGTAGTATTTTTGCTTACACCTTCGTAAACAAAATATCTGTACTCTCTATATTTTAGATTATTTTATTTCTTTCTCAAAGTATGTTCCTATAAAGATCGATGTATCAAAACATGGTTATGATGACTATGTAATAACTATATCAGAAATATCAAAATTCATGCAGAAGATACCTACTTTATGAAAGAATCTTAGCTATATATGTAACTAGCATTGCCCGCGGCTCCACCCGCGTTCAGATGACCAAAAACCAAATTCTTAGGTTGTACATATTAGTATACTCTTACATTGCAGTTTTTGTATTTTTTCTCAGAAATGAGACATTTTCCCGCGGTAAAAAGTATCGTATATGTTGACCCGGATAACCAACTATCACCATACCAAATTTCATCAAAATCCCTCCGGTTTTTCTGTGATGTGGTAACAGATAGACAGACAGAAATTCTAAAATTCTCTGTATCGACAATAAAGTCTATTTCAATAAGATTTTCCAAAAAAATATTGAATGTACAGGTTCGGCTTAGTTACAATTTTATTATATGTATAGATAAAAAAAAACTATCTGGCCCTTGCCTTGGAAATGCTTTTGATCTTTGAGATAAATATTATTAAATGATCACATATGTACGTAATTCTGTATCAAAGCTGACGATTGACTTTATACGGTACGAACAGTACTACATTACTTTCAGCATAAGAAAAGATTTTTAATTAAAATTTATATTATTTCCCGGAAGAATACTTTCAATTTTAGGAATAAAGACTGATAATCCGGACAAATGTGGATAAAAATGGCTTGACCAGTAGATATTACTTATACTAGGTAAGTAATTAAACAAAATCAATGCAATAGGTTTCGAAATTCAAGAATTTCATCTATTTTCTCTGTCTCCTTGAAAACCTTTTCGTAAATATTGCCTGGGTACATTTTAATTGTGCAAGATTTAAAGAAAATTCTTCGAATCAAAACAATTTACAGGTCACTAGTAATAATTAACACTAAATTCCTCTAACACTCATTGCTATCCAGTCAACATACGGACTGACAGGTGTCGCTACAAGAGGAGTAACTAAATTATCAGTTGTATTACAATGTCTAATTTGAGATGCTGATGCTATTCCGACAATACCAGTTGGATGAACGACCGGTCCACCAGAATCTCCTGGACAGCTTAGTGTAGGTTTGTTGCAATTCCAAGCTAAACATAACGATGGCGATACGCTCGACATGGGAGGACGCCGCGCACAGTTCACAACTATCGCGTCATATACTTGAAGTGGTTTATTGAGCGCCAAAACGTTATCTATATGTCCACTTTCAGATTGCATCCATCCTAATCCAAGTGAGAACACTTTGTGCCCGTACATCGTGCCGACGGGAATCGCACTGATTTTTCCCAACGCTTTAATTTTTGTATTCTGTACTTTGACTAGCGCTATGTCATTTACATCTATAGTTAGAGAGAGTTTGAAATTGGGATGTAGAATAGTTCTAATTATATTGCTGGCAATCCAGTTATAGTCGTCTGCTGGAGAAACGTATTGAATAACTGGTGTTAGTATCGTAATATTTTCGCTGGTATTATGTGGAGGGTTAATTAAAGGTTCTATTGTAGGAATACAATGTGCAGCAGTCAAAACCCATATTGGTGTTACAATACTTCCAGTGCAGAAGCTTTCATAAATAGGATTTTCCGGATACGACGACTTCAGGGATAGAGCTACTACGTAAGGAAACTCGCCACGTTTAGCATCTCGTCCTTGAAAGATTCTCAGTCCTCTGGAATTGCCACTGACGCTAAGAAAGTTAATATTTAACGCAATAAAGGCATATATAAAAATAATTTTAAACAAAAAAATAATACTCGTGTACATTTTATGCAGTCGTAAACTTGTATATGTACCAATATCAATACTGTTATATATTTGATTTCCTCGCCTCTATATTGGATAGGTATATTATATATTTTTAGTATTATTCGAGTAAAAATTGTAAGATACTGTATATTATATTACCTTCTATGTTGATATCGAAAGTAATACATCTTTAGAACTGAAGGGCCCACCGACCCAAACCATTTTAACAAAATCACATTAAAAGAAACATTCCAGTCTTGTTTACTTTCTTCAAATTAAAATTAGACCATTCTGTAGGTATAATCTATTGACTAAACAAGAAGTAATAAAATCTGCTTATAATCATAGACCAATATAACATAACAAACAGCGAAAAACAGCCTGAGTACCTCCTCTTTTATTTGAAGTCATTAATGAAATAGACTGAAATAGTACTTACATCTATACTAATATTATAAAGAGGTAAAGTTTGTGAATTTGTGACGTTGTAGGCGGTAATCTCTGGATCTACTGAATGGATTTAGATGAAAGGTAAGAATATATTTTGAGACCCTGGAAAGGAAAATCATCCCTTAAGAGTGAAAAAGGGGATGAAAGTTTGTATGGGGATGAAAGCTAGGGACGAGCTCGAGCGAAGCGAGGGTGAGTCGCTAGTAATCTTGAAAATAATCTTTAAAGTAAATCATGAATAATCTAAACCGCTCATACATAATTAAATTATAATTCTTGACGGTTAAATAAAAATCTTAATAGCTTATATCAAAAATTATGTATAACAGTTACTTACAAATGACAATTTGATGACTAAATATTATTCTCTAAGAAAATCACTTTCTTAGTTTCCGCGTAAGAAAATTAATTTTTTTATAGAACATTTTCCATTTTCCCTGCAGGCTGCAGCAATTTTTGCAATTTTCGAGGTACAGAGTTTATATTTAAATCGATGCAATCTTACTAATGTAATAAATGTAAAAGGTTAGATGGATGTTTCGACGTTTGTTACTCAATTCAAAACTCAACGGCTGAACGGATCTGGATGAAATTTGTGACAGAGATAGATTATAGTCTGGAATAGCACATAGGCTACTTTTTATCCCGGAAAAATGTATTGATCCCGTGGGATAGATTAGTTTTCGTTTTTCTAGAGGAGTACCCGAGCGAAGTGTGGGAGAGCCGTTAGTAGTTACTACATAAGAAAAGATTTTTTTGTAACATTATCTACTACTATTACTACCTTTCCTCGGATATAATATATAAAATTATATTTCTGATTCCCGCGGGAACCCTTACCATCTCCAAGACAAAAAGGACAATAATGCCAAATTCCTTATTGTGATAGGTAGGTACCTACTCTAATTTATAACGTTTTTGAATGTTGTTTGAAATAAAAAAAATATAGGGTTCTATTTTATTCAAAAGTATTTTATGATTCTATCTATCAGACACTTATTATTTTTATCGTAACATGATTGTGTAAAACAAGAAAACTCTACCATCGACGTAATAACAAGCGCAATTTGTCTCATACTAGCGACTCACCATCGCTTCGCTCGGGTTTGTCTCTAGCTTGCTTCCCCATACAAACTTTGATCGCCATACAAACTTTCATCTTCATTCTCACCCCCTTAAGGGATGATTTCCGGGATAAAAACTATTTCACTCACTCACTTTTCATATCATGGGATTTAAGGAAAACTTATTTTAGTAAAAAAAAATTTTTTACACGAATATGAAAAATATATTATTTATTCATCCGATTATCGGACGAACAGCAACAGCCCTAATTATTTCTTATTGCCACAGACATCGAAAAATCTCGTTGGTCTTGTAGATTTATTGAAATTCGGTAAATGTTAATCTTCTCTAAAGTAGCAGTTTTGGAATTAAAATTGGAGTTATTAAATTACTTATAGGTACTAGTGCTTGGCCCCTTTTGCCTTTCAAGCTTGTAAATAGCATTTATAATTTCTGAGACTTCTTGATTATTTTAGTGAGTGGTATTTCGCTTTTAAATATTATCTATCGAAATAAATAAAATTGAAGAATAGAATTGATAATCGTAACGTCAAAATAACAACTTTTTACTAAATGCATATGAAGTATAAGTACCGTATATACTTATACGGTACTTATACTGTTTACTAGTGTCGGTATCTGTTTGTTCCGGCTAATCTCCAAAACGGCTTGACTGATTTTGACGGGGCTTCCACTGAAAGATAGTTGATTATATTATAAGGAATAATTTAGGCTACTTTTATTTTAGAAAATGAATTAGGGTTCTGTTAAAAAAATTTAAAACGTATCCAGGGACGCACCCGATCATTCGCTAGTTATATATATGTATATATATATATAACATAGAATATGTTTAATTTTATAATTATAAAATTGCCTTGCCTTTGAGTTAATATTTATGTTTCTCGAAGACACTTGCTTTACGAGTATGTCGAACAACTGTGTCTAATCATCTTAACAAATACGTAGCACCTAAGTAGGTATATGCGAAATACGTAACACTATGTTCATAATAGTTTCTTTATGCATTTTAATGAAAACTTTTAAAAGGATTTAAACAATGGATCGAATACCTTTTGTTTAAAAAATTGGATGTAGTGGAATAGACTGTGAAGAATTTTAAAACTAATAAATAACATATTCTTGTATAAAATAATAAAATAATTTTAATCGTTATTTTAGTATCTAAAAAAGTAACATGTTCTCCTCTCTTTGTCCAGCGATTTTCTCTTATATCCGTCTATGGCGAAGCCCAAAGGTGTATACATATATCATACTATAGTCCTTTATCAATTTGTTATCATCTTTTTAGCTAAAAAAAACTATCCGTTATATTTTTCATTTTTATAATTTAATTGTTTTTTTTTCGTGAGGAACTATTAATAAGCTTTAGTGTTATCAAAAAATTTTTTTTGGATATTTAACGTAAGAAGGTAGGTAGGTATGACATAAAATTTTATCTGCAAGGTCGTATTTAATTAGATAAATATTATTTAGCTGTGTTTCGGAATCGATTCGATTTTAAATTATATCTGTACACTCGCGTTATCAAGACGAATCTAACAATGTATGAATCATCAAAATTGGTTAAGCCGTTTAGAATTACAAGGGAACGTAGAGTCATACGTATGCACATACGAGTCAAACGCATAACCCTCCTTGAGCCTTGCCGCAGTCGGGTAAAAAAGCCTAGTGATGGGCTATATCATTAACGTCTGGTAACCCAGCCGGATGCGAAACCAAAATACGCACTTGGGAGGTGCATGATACAATACAATGAGGTGGGTTGCCCCTAGTTGACCGTGGGCAGCCCATGGTCGTTGTGGTCTGTCTCAGCAAGCAGCCTTCTGGGTGTCGTGGTTGAGTACGCAAGCAATCCTGCGACATGCCATTAAAACGAGGAGGTTCTGTTGGGTTTTAGTGGGTAGGTATTACTGGCTTTTCTGGCCGGTAAGTCTCCACATAACCACCCTTGCGTATTAAGGCGTATGATAAATGTATTTTCCATCGTTAATAAAAAATCATTAAGGTTAGGTTTTTATATTGAGATTTGAGAGATATACTAAATCTAGGTGTGTGGTATTTATTTACAAGAAACGTAAAATATAAGACGCATATTGTTATCTTATCACAAATATTCAAATATTTCTACTAATCTTTATAATAAAGATACATGTATGTAATTGCGTTAAAACTTCAAATACGTGGCAACAAAGACCTTTACGTCGACGATTTACGTTACGATTACGTCCTTCTTACTCAAGATTAAGAGTTCCCCCCTAGTAATACTATAAATTATAATGGGTCTATTAAGTACTTGGTACATTTCATTGTCAAACTGCTAAATCAAAATTGATGAAAATTTGACAAACAGATAGGCTCTTATTATTAATTTCCATAAAAAAATTGTAGTTACTCACTATGGTAGCGACTAGTCAAGATAACTTGGTGGAGTACTTAAGTGATTCTGCGATTTCCAATTGAGACGGAGCAAGTTCCGTTGGATTTTAGTGGGTAGTACTGTTATTTCTAGCCGGTGAGTCTCCACATAACTCTTCTCCAAAAATGCACTTACCAACTTAAAAAAGATGCTTTAGAACACAAAGCTGCCCTTCGTTTTATTCATCTTTCACCAATAATGTTGAGTAATAGGTTAGTAAGCAACAAGGATGTCAAATAAAAACATACTTATTACAGTGGACTAATATCTCCGCCGAGTCGAGCAAAAAAGGGCACCTACCATCCTTTTCTCGAAGCGATTCAGAGTATTTTCCAACCCCCCGTAAGTTCGTTATGGATATAGCTAGAAGCCCGAATTTTCAGTGACTAATAGAACTTAATATAACTGGGTACACTTCCAAATTACATTAAATTTGAATTCTTTAATATCGTCACTCACTCGCCAGTCATCAAAATTCTAAGGCACTTCTAGCAGACATACGAGCTTCAAACTTTGAACACAATTAGTGCTTAGCCTATAACGTAAGGAAAAACTCCAACATCCCGCAATTTCAGTCTCGTTTTCGAGGTCTACGACAAACTGCATAAGTAACTTTACAAATAGATATGCGATATATGCGATTACAAAGTTAATTTTGCAGTTCATACATATAATTTTTCGTCACTCACACCACCGAAATGGCAAGCTAGGTAAATAGTGGTTATATAGTACAGTAAGTGCTAGCGAAAACTAAAAGGTAATTATAAATATTGTAAATAATAAAGTAAATAATTTTAATAAATAATAATATATTTAATATTATATAAGTAAATATAATATAAGATCTCAAATACAATTCTTCTACCGTGAAAAGTTATGAGATATAATGTATAACCAAGTCGATTAATTTATGCAGTACCTATCTATGGGAGCATCTGCCCAACAACTTCGTCATAAATCGTTACCCAATGAGTTAAGTAACAACCTTTATAGTAACCTTATCAATATTAGACATATTTATTTCTATAATAAATAGAATAACTTGGCCATCTTTGACTTCTTT